GGATAGAGGACTCATATTTTAGCTGGAAGCAAAAGTTTAGAAGATTCTAATCATGAATTTGTTTATTGCTCTTCTGACAGCACACATTCAGCACAGAGGATCCATTGGTGAGCAAGCGATGTCATACTAAATTCCTCAAAATCTGTTCCAGTGAAGAAACAAACTCATTTTGGGTGTAAATTTTCTAAAAAAGTAAATTTTCTAAACAACAACAACAAAAAACCAACAAGTTTGTTTTTACAGTTTAAGTGTATGGTATTTAAAATACTTTTTATGGATTAATTTTCTCAGAAGCCAATAAAATTCCAAGTGCATAACATAGTGTGGTTGGCACAAACCACATGTAAGCCCATATTTAATTTAGTCTGGGTCATATTTTATTTTATCTTGTGAATTTTTTCATGGTTTATTTAGGGTGAGTGCTTGTCAAGCAACCCGTCTGTGTTGCCATCTACACTCTTAAAAATAAAGGTGCTTCACGATGCCATAGAAGAACCTTTTTGTCTAAATGGTTCCATAAAGAACCTTTAACAGCTGAAGAACCTTTCTGTTTCACAAAAGATTCTTTGAAGCAAAAGAAGGTTCTTCAGATTATAAAAAGGTAAGAAAGAGATGGTTCTTTAAAGAACCTTTGACTGAATGGTTCTTTGTGGAACCAAAAATGGTTCTTCTATGGCATCGCTTGAAGAACCTTTTGAAGCACCTTTATTTTTAAGAGTGTACCTAATTTAGCATAAACAGTGACATGATTTTACACCATAATGCTTGTCATCAGCGGTCTTTGATGTCAACAAAATATACAGAAAATGTTTCCTCTTGCCTTTAGCTTACTATACTATGTTCAGTGCAACGTTTTCTTGTGTGGTATTGCATAATTGTGCTGTTCTACATATTTTCTTAAGCAAATAATATATCATTAATATTTGTGAGTTTTACTCACAGAAAAATGTTCAAGCAAACATGCAAAGAGACAGCAAATTAATTTTCAACACATATCAGGGATCTCTCGGTTTTCTTTATTCTTTTTTCTGTTGTTTGATACTTTTACTCTTTTTTTATTCTTCTCTCTCCATCTGTCTCTGTGTGATCCCTCTCTCTGGACCTGCTGTGGTGCGTTCAAGCGCTCCACCGCCACGCACTAATGAACTTCCAACATCTTGTCCCGTCACGGCAATTACACACACACACACACACACACACATGCACACAGTGTTAACACTGACACTAATACACGTATTCCCAATGCCCTACATGTACACCCTGCCCAAATGAAGGCCTGCATATTATGTAGTAAGGTGTGTGGATGCGATATCATTAACATTAGCCGTCACAGTCGATTTAAATCAAGCACTGAATAAGGATATAGGATGTAGAGGAGACTGGGGTTGGTCGGCTAAAGGAGTAGGTAATTTCAGGTTCATAATTGATGCATAAAATGTAACATGAATGTTTGCTCTCTTGACCCACACTCATTGATTCTTTTAAGTCTTTAAAAGACTAAACCTGTTGACTGACAAGAAAATTTCTTCATCAAAACAAAATTAGATAAAATGTTCTATTAATAATGTAAAGATGTTTAAATTTAATTTAAGATTTGGTTAGGGGGTTGGTTGGCACTTGGAGTATATTATAAAAATAATTATAAGAGCACTTATATGTCCACATCTTTCTGCATGTTACATCGTTACACCTGTAGGTGGTGACAAGGGACTGTTACAATATGAAAAGATTAATTGAACCGATTCGTTCCAAAACATTGATTCTGACTGCTTTTAAGAGTGAATCATTGAATTATTCACTCATCCGATTCAAAAATACCGATTTCTTCAGGACTGCCACTACTGTGTGTTGCTTGGAGATTTTAGGGTTCATTGTGGCTTTGTTTGGATCTATTTACATTGGCAGAGCGAAAGACAAAGTAACTAAAAGTATTGTCCAGAACGTAAGTTACCTTTATCTTCTTGTGTGTTAAACTGTTGTATAAAAGAAACATCACACTTGCAATTGTGCCATTGTTCATTATAAAAACCGGTTTAATTTAAGCATATATTAATAAATTGATCATACAATAGGCCTAATTATCAGATAAATGTATGTTAAGGTGTTAGTTTGGAATGATGAGGTCCCTATGTATATAACAAATGAAATAAAATTGAGTGAACATAAGAATTTATTGTGTGAAAATGTAGTGAAGAAAACGGGTTACTCCATAGCCAAACACGATTATAGATCTACAGTTTAAGGAATAGACATGAGTGGTTATAGACATTACAGTGATATGATAAAGACTCAGGGTTAATTAAGGCTCAAATTTTAATAACATACTTAATCATTTATCAAGTCTGACTAAAGCAGACCCTGGGCCAGACACACATATACACGCACAGCTGCATGTGTAATATATTATTTAGCCGTATTTCTCTTTTCCCGTTGCTCTTGAGTAGACAAACGGACAAATACACACTTCAGCGCTTCTGTTATTGGCTTAGGAGACACAAGGGGTTCAGTTGAACGTGTGTAGGTATTACAGACTCACACTTGGATGGATAAATTGCTGAAGACTACTGGCAAATTAAAAGTTTTGATAGCTTAGTATTAAAGTTGCTGTTAAAAAATGGCCAAGGATTTGAAATTAAAATGAAATGCAGAGGAAAATTTAAGAGCATTAATACGGGCATGCAATTGATCATACTGTAGGTTGATGCAGAGAATAAACCAAATAACTAATATTTGAGAATAAACGCACAAGTGAGTACAGAATAGAGGGTCTTGGAGAGGGGTAACGTACAGGTCAATCAATACATGCATTTAATAACATTTTAAAACACACATGATAAATATAGGTACAAAATTGCATTCATACCAAATTAAAATGCAACCTGTCATTTGGATAAACCTAAAGCAACTGCAGAACTGGCCTTCTCTTTTTAGTCTGAGACATAAATTAAGTGTAAAAAGAAAACAAACAGTCTAGCAGGGAGAGAGAACAAAATAAAGCGAGGGAGAAGAGGAGCGCCAAAGAGACTCAAGGGATGGTTGGGATTTATGGTTCAGTAGCTGAACTCACGATCAGATAATTCAAAAGTTAATCGCTTTCCATAACTCTCTTGCACATAATCTTGCTCATCTTTTATCAATGACAACACAAAATACCAGAATAAACTGCATCTCACACGCTTGCATCCGCACCCACTGCTAGTTTATGAGAAGAAATGATGCCCATTCAAAACTTTGCTTTCCATCATGAAATAGCAGCAGTTTGGTGAACAGTTATGCTTTAGACAGTCCAGAGCCTTGAGAAATGTTATGACATCAGGGATGCAACAAGCTCATTTACAAAGTCATCCAAATTTGTTCTGTTATTTCATTTAAATGTTTGCGTTTAGAATAAACCTCTGAATATTACAATACTCCTGCCTTGTTGTGATTCTCACTTGCATGTTATAGTGAATAACACTTTAATAGGAAGCCCCTATTATACATAAAACTGAACATTTTCTTAAAATCCTGGCCTATTATTGTTCAAAAGTTTGGCTCTGGTGAGATTTTTTACTGTTTTTGAAAGAAGTCTCTTATGCTCTCCATGGCTGCATTTATTTGATTAAAAAATTCAGTAAACGCTCTAATATTTTGAAATATTTGTAAAATTGTATATAACTGTTTTCTACTTTAATACATTTTAAAATACAATTAATTCCTGTGATGGCAAAGCTGAATTTTTAGCAGTCATTACTTCAGTCTTCACTGTTTTTTAGGAAATCATTATAATTTGGTGCTCAAGAAACTATTCTTATTATTGTCAATGTTGAAAATAGTTGTGCTGCTAAATATAACTGTGATACTTTTTTTCCAGAATCCTTTGATTAATAGAAAGTAAAAAAAACCCAGCATTAATTTGCAATAGAAATGTCTGTATAAACATATTTCTTTCTTTTAAAAAAATATTACTGACCCCAAAAATTTGAACGGCAATGTATAGTTTCACATGAATATATCTGTGAACTTTGTCATAATGATTACATTGCAAAGCCATTAAAACAATTATTGATGTGCAAAGTCAGTATATTTGTACTTTATATCATAATTTTACTTCGTATATTTTAATGTGGCAAGGACAATGAAACACTTAACGTCCATTTTCTTATATTTAATATTGGTTGAAGTAAACTTTAGGATTTTTTTTTTTTACAAAAATTACATACAACTGGCCAACACATACAGTACCGCCATAGACTCCCTATACAGGAGGTGCAGATCACTTGTTAAAGACTCCTGGACAAGTCTTATATGGAGAGAATTCTTTTTGATAGTTTCAAGGATTTTGCCATTTTGTTTGATCACTTAAAGCCAGTATGGCAAAGGTTTAATTTCTTGACTTTCAGATCTTATCTAGTCCTGTTCTTCTTGTAACAACACTTCAGATACTGTTAGCTGGTTCATGTTTCTACTGAGTTTATACCGGTTGTTAATTAATAACTCCTTTGGTGTCAACAATCAATATCCTCACTGACATATTCTGTGTATTATTAAAAAACAGAGCGGCTAATCAACTGAATATCTTCACACCTTCAGAACCGTGCAGGCTATGGTATTTGAAATATGCTCTTGAATGTGTGTCTGTCAAGTTGCAGTCAATACCCACTGGGGTGGGAGTTGAAAGCATAACGCTAGCAGCCAGTTCAAGCCAGGACAGATTACCCGATACTCTATTAGTTAAAATAAATTACTTTTACCTTGTTTATTTGCTTCTTCAAGTTACATTTTAAATATTTTGATGCTGAGAACATGTTCATATATGCATTGGCACCACTTTGTGCCTTGCCTGAACAAGTTTTAAGTAGAAGAGGCAAAATTCTGGTTGTGATGTTATGACATGGTGAAGGCTTATCGTATAAGAATTAATTAGGTAATGCTTAAATTTGAACATGAACTTTTATTTGATAAATACATAGTCTGTGATATGTATGGTCTTAAAGGGAAATCTGTCATCATTTACTTACCCTCTTCCAAACTTGTATCGCTGTGTAGCGTAGCCATGGAAAGAGGTGCGTTAGAATCCATTTGCAGAGGTAATGGATAGCAAACAGCTAGGGCAAACAATCTAAAATGACGAAAATCCAGGCAATAGTTCAAAAAACAGATTGAGCAATAAAATAAAACTGCTTTGTCATTACACAGTGATTTAAGGGAACAATCATTCTATCTCTGACCAATTCACTTGTTCAAATGAACTTTATATTATGAACATATTGATTACATGCTTTTGCATCAATGTTGACAAACCAAAAATGATGGAAATGATGCTTATGTGAAAACAAAATAGCTGCTCTCTTAATAATCTCTTTTTATCTCTCAAATCAATGTAGTACCCTCATTGTACAAAGACGCTGGTATATTGGGTTATCCGACTTTGACATTCAAGAACAAAAGACAAGTAAAAAAAAAATTTCAAAATATAACGGCTAACACCACACTGAAACCCCAAGAAATGTTCTTGGGTGTAGGCTAAATGCTCGCTTGTTAGTGGCAAGATAAAAAGAATGGAAAGATGGAGAAGGAAAAATGGAGGAGTGAGGGGATTTGTTGCTGTAATTGAATAGATTTGACTTGTTACCACAAAGTTGTTAGGTGTCAAACTGGGAAACAGTGTGTCTGTATGTGTGTTAGAATGAAAGTTAGCACATATCCTTATGGGCAAAGTAGCATGAATGTGTGTTAGCGTGTGTGTGCATATGTCTATGAGAAAGAGAATTTGAAAAACCACATGCTGATTATTATTTTTCCCCATTCTGACCACATAGTGCTGTCTTTCTCAGCAACCATCATTAATAGGTTTTGTTTTTATAGCATCTTTCCAAAAACAGGTTTAGAAGTGAAGGTGGTATTTATTATGCTCAGTTCCACCAGACCTGATCAGTGTGTATGTATCCAGGATGACTGAATGTTGCCATTGACTGTCTTTTTAGTACCAATGCTAAAGGAATAGTTTTCTCACCCACATGTCTTTCCAAATCAGTATTTTCTTCCTAATCTTTCTTCTACCTTTTTCTTGGTAGGCCTTATCAGCCCTCATCCATTTCCCATGTAACATTCTTCTGACAGCCCCAGACAGTGTTTCATGGGTTGGTGATCAGTACAGCTTCTGAAGCTCATCTAGTAGCCTTCCAGAGATGTTCTGTCCAGCTCTTTGAGTGAACAATGATTTCATAAAGGTACCTGACAGTAGACACGGCGAGGTCTCAGTATTATCCGTATTCCTCTAAAGAAATTCATATTTTTATTTTATTCAGCAACGACCCATTACATTGATCAAGAAGTGACAGTAAAGACATTTAGAATATTACAAAAGATTTCTGTTTCAGATAAATGATGTTCTTCATTAAACAATCCTAATAAACTCACAGTTTTCACAATATAAAAATGTTTCCTGAGAACCAAATCAATGATTTTTGAAGGATCATGTGACACTGAAACCTGGAGTAATGATGCTGAAAATTCAGCTTTGCCATCACCAGTATAAATTAAATCTGAAAATATATGAAAATAGAAAACAGTTATTTAAACTGTAATAATATTATAGTGTATAGCAGCTCAACTGTTTTCAACACTGATAATAATAACAAATGTTTCTTGAGCACCAAACCAGCATATTAGAATGATTTCTGAAGGATCATGTGATTTCTGAAAAATTTTCTGAAGAAATTAATTGGTCGGATCATTTAGAAATGTTATAAACAACCCTGAAGCCCAAGTATGAACAATAATAAAAGTTTGTTCCTTAATTAGTTTGTATTGCCAACTCATGTTCACACATACACAACATTTTAGCATTTAAAAATTGCACACCAAGCTCCACTACACAAACACCCTCCATTTCATTTCTTACACGGCCACACACACACACACACACACACACACACACACATACTCATTTCATATGCAACACAAAGCGTATGTGTGTGTGTGCATTCTCAAGTGTGTGTGCTTTAAATGTCAAGGGTGTGTAGGTTTAGCATTTTATTTAGCATACAATTAAAAACAGGAAGAGTGGGGATAAGAGAAAGATCATGAAAGAAGGGAAGTTAGGAGAGGGCAAGTCACTAAAATGAAGGTGGGTGGTGGTGGAGGAGGAACGAGGAGGGGAAGAGGACAAACAGAAAATGTTTTTGAGAAGATAAATGGATGAAAAAGAGATGGTGAAAAGGCTAAAGAGAAATTAAATATGCGGGAATGAATCAAGTGAAAATAGCAGACGTGATGAATAAATAAAGTAGCTGGAAGAAGCAATACAGTATGAGGTATACACCTAAGATAGAGAGAAAAGCCTATGAAAGAATGGATTTAAAGATTCTCAGATATTTCTATAAAACTTTCCACAAAACATTATTACAGAATGGCAACACTAGCCTTTAAATTACTAATTTAGTAAATGAAAAGAGTCACAAAAGTCCAAGTTTATAT